ACCAACGACAACAACAACAAACATCACTTAATCAGCCAGCACCTTCCAAACAGCAAACATCACTTAATCAGCAAGCACCTTCCAGGCAGCCAAAACCACCTAATCTGCCAGGGGCTCAGCAACCGGCAAAATACCAGCCCTTTGAACCAAACAAAAAAATACAGAACATTTCAAAGAAGGACATTGCTTCCTGCTTTGACAAAGTAATCAAAGATCACCTTTCAGAAGTACTCAGTGGCACCAAGGAAAGCTGGCGACATGAAATTTTCCATGGAAGAATATTATCAGACAGGGATAAAGAGATGATCGAAAGGGTAGATCTCAAGTTCAATGTGCCATTTGGGGACTTTGAGGAAAATCAAACATATCACATGGTAACTCTAATAGCAAAGCACTTCCCAAAGGTCAGTCAAAAGTACTTAATGGAGGTACTTTTACCAGAGGCTCTAATTACCCTATGTTGTCAGCAATTACAAATTACACGCAACCAGGCTGAGGATCTCCTAGAAAGTGGTGGAAAGCATGAGGCAGATGCATTCCTGCAAAAAATAGAACAAAGAAGTAAAGGAAAGTTCTTGAAAAAGAAAAAAGCCCCGAAAAGAAAAATGCAAGGAGCCGAAGAAGCTGAAGACGAAGTTCAGTTTTTGAAACAGGCTAGGATGGACGAAGCATCTATTGCTAAAATGCAAAGGCCTACATTTAAACTGAATCAAGAAGATGTAGACATAATTGGCAAAAATGCAATGCTTACAGATCTTCAAATACAAATGGCCCAAGAACTGTTGCATCGCCAATTTCCTTATATCGAGGGGCTGCTGTCTCCAACAATTGGGAAGGCAGAACAGTTTCCAGTGATGCGGAACAGCTTCATTCAAGTGCTACACACTGGTGGTAATCACTGGGTTTGTGTCAGTAATATTGGATGCAGCCACAACAACCAAGTGAAACTCTATGACAGTCTTTATAGTGGAATTGCGCCATTCACCAGAGAGCAGATTGGTGCCCTTCTTTTCAACCAAGACAGCAATGTTATTGAAATTTGTGTCCCTCCTGTTGACCAGCAAACAAATGGGACAGACTGTGGAGTTTTTGTGATTGCATTTGCCACAGCACTCTGCCATAATATGGACCCCACATCACTTAAGTTCAACAGGCGGGCAATAAGGGCACATCTCTTAGATTCCCTTAAAAATGGATACATTGGTATATTCCCCTTTGAGGAAAAATCAAGCATTGGTTATGAAGAGACTGTTGCCATGCCAGTGTACTGTGACTGCCGCCTCCCATACAATCCAACCAAAGACCAGATGGCAGAATGCACCAATTGCAAGAAGTGGTTCCATCAAGCTTGCCAAAAAATTCCTGACAAAGTTTTCAAGTATAAAAGGTTTCAATGGAAGTGCAATAACTGCCAAATTGCTTAGATACAGACATCTATTTTTTAAGGCAAATGGTTATTGAAAATATTAGGGACTGTCAATTTTTATGTGGTGGGGTGGTAGATAGTCACTATAATATGTGATGACTTCCCCTTTTCATCAAAATTTTTCCCTGCCCCCACCCCTTGTTACCATAATTGTGTGACACTTAAGAGTAGTTATTTGGGTTAAACCCCTTCCTCTCCAAACTGACCATTTTTATTTGGTTGGCTCCACTTTCAAACCAACTGTTCTGGCATGACCCCTCTGAAGACTATTAAACCCCCTACCTCATAAAACTGAAAAAGTCTCACCACTCAACAAAATGTCAGGCCAAAACACTTCAATGACAACTCAGGCTAAAGTACTAGCACAAGAAAAAGGAAAAGTAAATGATTTTGGCAATGGTAATTCAATGAAGCCATGGTGCTAATTGTCAACTACATAAAATACAAGAGTTTTACAGATGAAATCAATACCATGGAATAAATCATTAAAAAGTATCACAATTTGAAAAAGAAAAAAAATCACCATTTGTTAGTCATTGTTAACAAGCCTATCCATAAATGCCTTTTTCCAGAGGGTACTTCCCTTCTTGGAGTTTGTTGATATTTTTTTGCATTGTCTGATAGGTTTCACTTCTGTAACAAACCCAGTTTTAGAGTTTGCCCATTGATTTACAGGTGGCTTGTTCACAAATTCATCAGCATTATTAGGCTTTGAAACAATGTTAAGTTTTTTTGTAGTATTACTGCTATTTTACAAGAATATGTGACATTTATAAAGTAGAACAAAAGTTTGCTCTGAAATATTTATTGGATAGTACATATACATTTGAGGAACACTGAAACATTGCAAGTAGATATCGCTTACCATGCAGTGGATATCACTTTACTAGTAGATTAATATTATCAGTTAACAATCATTTTCATAATCTATACAACCATGTTGATTTATCAATAAAATTACCTGATCTTTCGCATGTAGTTCAAATTAGTTGGCCTGTTGTTTTTATGAGCACTTATTAGACACAACAAAAACAGTGCAGAAAAATATCCAGGCTGTCCATACTGGCAAATACTGGAAAACCAAGACTTCGGTTACCATGATAAGGACTTGGTTGTCCAGGGCCGTACAGATTTCAAAACAAAAACAAACCAAAAAAAAATATCAACAACATAGAAGCCCCGTTTAAAAATGAATTCAAATGGTTTTGATGTATAGTGAGTGATTGATGTGAACTACGGAACGTGAACACGAAATAGTTTCCAAACGCGGTAAAGTTCTAGACCTTTATCCACCAAAACAACTTATTGCGCAAACACACTTTTAAGTTGTCGCAAACGACAGGACAAACGCTAGTTTCGAGCAGTGGCTCGAGCGAACTAATCGTTGGTACTTAAATTAAATGCTGGCGAAACGACTGAAATCCATGTAACTATTTTAAAGGTTTTGGAAATATAAAAACACCTCTTACCTTGTTATTCAGTTGCATTGTGATCTTCTTCCGTTTATATTTTGGATCGGAAACTTTAAAATATAAAACCACAAAATTTGTTCCTCGTAGCCACCATGTTTTCTTTGAAGCTCTAAAAGGCCCGGGTGCAAAGCTTCAGTGTTTTGTGTATCCCTACCAGGGGTACACATATCACTAGTGATATGTGTGCGGGGGTACACATATCACGGGGGTACACATATCACTGTGACAGTGGTCTACCGAGATTAACGACGTTGCAGTGGGTTGTCAGCTTGTCTTAGGTTCTCAAAGAGGTTAAGCGTTAGCTGAAAAACGGCCGACAAATTTAACTTTTAGGCGGAAAAGTTGACAAATGTTAGCCGTAGTCGTAAAAAGAGTTAACCATAAAATGTTTTTCTTCTGATAACAAAGGAAGGAAGTTAACCGTTAGCAGTAAAATAGCAAAAAATTTTAGCTGTCAGCAGTAAAAGCCACACCTCATTGAGACCCTCTTGTCTTAGTCATCTTAGTGACAATGAGACATACTTATTTCTTGACTTTCTTTGCAATATCGGCAACAATATATATGTGGAAAACATCCCAAATTGCGATATGGTAAAAACAATGATAATAATGATAATAATAATTTTAAGGTCTCTTACGCAGTGGACCTTTGTGAAATAATCGTGGTTATTGTCAGTCTTCATCAAAACAAGATTCAGCTTATCTTAGGAACAAAATCCCATGATGTGTAAACAAGGACCCATTTTACCAAGACGATCAAGAGAAAATCGACTTCATCCAAACTACACTCAGGCAGGAAATAGGCTCCTGACGCAAGTTAAATGCATATGGGTAAAATGGTTATTGCATGGCATTCTTGCGTTTGAGCTTCCATAGCTTTTCGCCAGGTAACGCTGTGTTTTTAATTTTTTAGCAGTTATGCTAAGAAGGTAAGCTTGTCAAAAAAATGCTCTCTATTTAATCTGATGTTCACCTTGAAATGATTACTTTGCCTTGCAGTAATAACCATTGTTACTAAAAATTGAATTATGCATTATGAATGATAAATAGACGAAGACAATTTGACACTACATTATCTTTGTTCGTCTCATTCCTAATTTCTTGTGGCATGAACGTGTGGGCACATTGGAATTTTCAGACTTTTTATCCAATGATCAATCATCTCTGTGCTCGATTAGAGGAGCCATTCAATAAAGTAGTTAATGAACCAATCGTGTCAAAAAAACAAACAAACAATAAAATGAAACAACATAAAATTGAAAGCAAGACACTGCGCTTTCACACGTTACCAAGAGGGCTGAAAAAAAAGAGTACTTCGCGCGAGGAAGAACAATTACATAAATGAAAAGCGAAAAAACTCAAACACAATTCCGTACATTTCTATCATTAAAAACATTTATTTTAAGCAGCTATAACGAGATTTTGACACTCCTTTATATGTGCTATGCGGTACCCCATTCATCTAAGTGGTGTTATAGCTATAAATTATAAACATGATTTTAGAGTGGTCGATCAGAAAATCTCTCATTTTTTCTGTCCCTTTCACGACTTTTTCTCTATTTCGGCCTCCAGAAAGTGTGAAACTTTTTCCCTGAACCCAGTTTTCATAAGACTGGGACAGGATATTTTGTAAATGCGTTACCAACTGATTTGCAACGCCGAAAGGAGTAGAAACGCTTTGCAGATATCCACCCATTTATGTAGGTCCATGATTTGGGCTCATAAGACTTTAAGTCTAAAAAGTCTTAAATTCTAAAATCCTCCACAACAGTGTCAACCTTGGGTTCGATTTAACCAAAAAATTAAAGGCAAAAATCCCATTTTAAAATGCACGTGATCAGATGGGACCCAAAAAAAACCTGAATGTGAATAAACATGGACTAAAGTTGATCTTTGTTAGACACAAGGAAATGTTTCAACAGTATTTATTCTCATTATCCAATTACCAAGCTTATACATTATCCCGTACCATTTTCAAGCTGTTTTATAACTCTTGTACAACTACAACAAAGCTTTGCTGTCTTTAAATAGTTTTTTTGTTATCGCTACACCTTACAGAAACTTAACAGCGCCTTTTCTTTGTTTTCAACAACAGTTTATTTCTATCGCACCATCACCCAGATTGGTTTGTTCAGATAACAGTAGCCTGCGATACACTTGGTACCACGCGCGCGGCTGTCGTCGGAAGTGACGTAGTTGTTAATAATCTTGTCAGGACCACTCCACATGGTAATCCACTTGTCTCTGGCTCCAAAACCTTCAGCTATTCCGTAATTTGAATAGTAGTGCAGCCTAGATATTGTGGCAAAACCAGAAGACGGATTTCTCCTATTGTGATCTGCCGGACTGTACTTGTAAAATCCGTGGATGTTCTTAAGCGTTTTGTAAGTCGTCCCCATCAAGAACTTGTCAAAATTTGTTTTGTCCTTATTTGGAGCGCCCGCCTTCCTGTTGTAAATAACCCGGATGGTACTGACGTCACTGAACCGGAACATGACCTCCTCCCAGTCCCCCATGTCAGGATGAATGTGACTCGCTGCATCGGCGTCTGTGGTTTTTGCTGCTGATGCTGAAAATGCTGTTTTGATAAAGAGGAAGCTTGGGGACACCTTTGTGGCTACTAGTGTCCAACCTCCACTCTCAGTCTCCATGTCGCAAAAAGCCTGGAACGAGTCACCTGTCGAGTTTTCGTTTGGATCAATCCAGTAAAGTCCGCTACCACGACTGCCACCTTAAACAGACCATTAAGATGATTTGAGATCGTCTCCTAATGTTTTTTCATTACCAGCAATCCGAGACATTTTACTCCCGCGGTCCGCGAGGTCAGTAGTTTCTTCAGGTTCTACTGTTCATGCGCTATGGCGTCAGATTTCATGTAAACATGGAGCGAAGTAGATTTCCGCGGAGGAATCGAGTTGATTATAAAGCACTAAATGTTCTTTCTACAGTGGATTTAGAAGTTCATTTGAAAGGAAGGAGAAAATTTAAAAGCGGATCTAAAGTTTATTTTGTGGAGAGACTTATCAGCCGGCGAAGATTGAAGAACGAGGTATGTGTATTGACCCTTTTATGTTCCTGCAGCTATATTTTACTTCGGATGAAATTTTGTTTTTTATAATTGGCGCGATTTGGCGCTTGTAGGAGTCTGCAGATTGTTAAAACAGCGGTAAAAAGCGTGGAAATGCTAGGCTGCTAAGCTGAAGTAAATATGGCGACTTTTTTCACGAAGAAAACGATGGAAAGTGGTCGTTCTTCGCGTCCTACAGGACATTCGCGAGCTCAGGTAAAGGTTACGTCTAATAGTGAAAAAGCCCTATTTTCAAGATTGATTTGCGGCCTCCTATTTTATCATGGAAGGCTTTATTTAACGTATTTGAAAGATCGTAAACTGAAGAAAATTTTGAGGGGTCGGCACCGATGAAAGCATGAAACACACGGACAGCTCAAAGCATGGAAGTGAAGGTAAGTGAAGGTATTTGGATGAAACTATAAAGGAAGTACAACCGAAGATCTTTGTTATTTTACCTCTATTCCGCGGCTCGACGAATAAACGAAACGGTGAAAAAACTTTCGCTTCGTAGTGCAGTTGCATATTATTTATCAACGAGAGGTCGGCACGTAGAATTTAATTTATTTAAACTGCCAAAAAATAAGATTTTATTTCAGATCCCATACATTTCTTTGTATCTTCGGGAAGCCATTTTGAAAGTAATCTTTGATTGACGTACGGTATTTGAGACGCAATATGACTCGCATTGCTGGTAATGTTTTTTTAGGCTCAATCATTTTTTAAACCCTTAAGAAATCGTAATCTCACCTGTTTTTAGGATATCCATACAGTGACGGCCAGGTCTATCGGCCACGTGACCTTTCCCTCCAGTCAACAAAGACCACCAAGCACTTCCATCGCAGAGTTGCAAGGCTTTTTGGGAGACATTGTAACGAACGGTGCCAGCAGTTCGCAGAGTACATTTCTCAGCAGTGTCACCAAACTTGACGGCACCTTGAGGTGATTTACCAGCCGGACCGGATTCGCCTTTTTGACCCTGAAAAATAGAAATTAAAAGTGTTCATTTCATGATTAAAAATGAAAAACGAAGTACATCGTATCAATCGATGTAAAAGATATTTGAGCAATTGCCACAGAACTCTTTGGTAGTGGTGCGACAGTAGGTACAGAATTTTACTTGCAAGTAAGTCATGACAATGCGTTTAAATGGCCATGGTTTACCAAAACTTATAGCTAAACCTTTAACCAGAGGACTGTTTTTTTTCTTCAGCCATTTTTCAGTTGAGGTTTTTTTTCTGGAACGCCTAATGACTTCCCTTAACAAGGGAATGCTTTTTTCCTTCTTTCTTCTTTTTTTTTTTCTTTTACTGTTTTGTTGTTAAGTTAGATTTTCACAAAAAACCTTATGAACTCGAACTGTGAAAAATCATCGACTGCCCTTTGTTCCATTTATTCCGTCTTTCCCATGAAAGCCCTGCTCCCCTTTGACTCCCTAAGTATTGGAAAATAAATTTTACATCACAATCATAGTTGTTGGTGCTTCTACGCGGAATAAGTTATATTATTTTGTCCTTTTTTGTGGTTTTGAAGTTAAATTAGTAAGAAATTTCAACACACACCTTTAAGCCGTTCATTCCGTCGTTTCCCTTCGGTCCTCGTTCTCCTTTATCCCCCTGAAAAGAAGAAACTTTCCGTTAAAACTTGTGACTGAGATGATTACTAATCAAAAAAATTGTTAGCTTTGGTGATAAAAATCAAGAGAGTCACGCACCTTGACAGCATGTTTTCCTCCACTTTCTTTACAGAGACCATCTTCTCCTTTCTCACCCTAAAATAAAATTGAAAAAGTATTTTTTAAATTCCTTACATATACTAGGTGCCGCTTTAAGACATTTTGAGGTTTTAGACACTTTTCCTCATTGTCCTCTTTAATCTGTACGTAGAAAATCATACGACACAAGGACAGAGAATAGTCGAAATATTCAGGATGTGTATTTATAGTGCTCAGCGATATTACTACTTCACTACTAAGCTGAAATAACGACTGTGTAACTCGTGAGGAGTCTGTGTTTCAGGCTCTACAAAGAAAAATTTTGCTCACCAGTGAATTTGCCTAAAAAACATGCATAAAAAATTCCTTTAGTTTGAAAGCGGTTTGTGATTTGAAAGAAAATTATCTACATCTTTCTTTTCTTTTCTTCCGCGTTTTCGCTTGTGGCGTTTGTCCTTCATTACTCTGTTCATATTTCCACACCAACCTTTGTTCCCATTTTCCCGTCGCGTCCATCTCGGCCATCTTTTCCTTCAATCAAAGACAAGAAAATATTTGCTGTGGGGGAATTTCATGAAGCATAAGATATTTTCGAGAGACATTTTAGCATTTCAACTTTCCTTTTTGAGAAACGTAGTCATCTACAAGTGCACTCTGTTCCTAACTAAGCATTTCAGGCAGAACGCTCTCACTCAGTTTTGGCTGAGAAAGTGAGTTAGTGTATATTACAAAAAAACCTTTGAAGTGCGACTTAACTATCCAATATTTTTCTTAGTTATTCCATACCGTTTTGACCATCTCTGCCGTCTCTACCTGAAAAAGATAAGGGTGAAAAAAAGATCGTTAATGTGAAAAAAAATATATGAAATATCAAGAGATGGCAAATTCCACTTGGGCACAATATGAAACTCAGCAAGTTGGGATACGTTCATACCGTCGCGGCAGGAACAACTGTACTTCGAAACAGACTTTCCACACTGACTTTGCTGTGTTCCATTCTTCGAACCCTAAAAAAAAAAGGGAGATCTAGCTCGAACAACGTGGTACGACTCTAAACTGTGTAGCGTACGAGTTTAAGCAATAAACTTGCCGGGTTCAGCATGAATATTTAAGAACATTTATTCATCCACAAAGAGACGATATGTCTTGGTATTTATTGACAAAAAATTCCCACTTACCGATTGGTTCTTTGAGACTACAAAGGTACCCAGGATAAAAACGAAGCTTAGTGCAAGAAATAATCGGAACATCTTGGCTTCCTCTTCTTTTCCTGAAAGTTTCTTTGGAATAAAAGCAGAGTTTCAAGACGTGAGCATTTTAATATATTTTGAATATTTGCATTTCATCAAAACGAGAAAAAACGGCATGAGAGCGGTTCAGACAATTTGTTATGATCATTTTTTGTTTGTTTGGATTTTTTGCTTTTTCGCCTTTCATACACCAAACCTTTCCTTTTGAATGGCGTATTTGACTGGCGATATCTCCCAAAGCCAATTTCGTTCCGTCAGTGTATTTCACAAAAACACACGATACACATTATTGTTTGTATAAATATATGCAGAGCTCATATCCCCGGTGTCACTCAAAGATTACAATGATTTATGCTATATGGCAGTTTTTTATAAGGATAGCGTGACGTACAGGTCACGCTGATTCATTTAGAATCGATCTGCCGGCATCAGTCTTTTTCATTAATGAGTCTTCGTTGCGCGCGAGGGCTCTTAAAGCATAGAAACGCCCCGCGCCACTTTTTAAATAGCTGCTTACTGATGACTTTCGTTCTTGAACTCTCATAATTGGCTCATCTATTCTAATTCGAGGATGGCGGCTTTAGATCACGGTTTATCGTGGAAACCAAACATTTCTGTGATTTCAAGTGAACATAATTCCCGCTGAAAAAGGTCAATTTCCTTCTATCGCTGCTCTCTAGGGGAGGCCGCCATTTTGTTAACTCAGCCCAGATCTTCTCTTCCGTCGCTTTTAGCCTTTAATTAATTTGAGTTGCATTTGTGTAATCAACTGGATACAGAGATTTCTTCCCAGCTTTCTCCTTCTTTGAGGTTTTTGCTCGCTCGAGTATGTCTCTTGCATAAATCAGATTGCCGCATTGGTGTATTCTTGCACCAATCAGATTGCCGTGGACGTTCTTGTTTTTATTGAAAGTTGCTCCCAATAAGAACTTGTCGAAGTCTGTTTTGTCGTTATTTGGAGCGCTCGCCTTTCTGTTGTAAATAACCCGGATGGTACTGACGTCACTGAACCGGAACATTACCTCTTCCCAGTCCCCCATCCTCGGGTGGATGTGACTTGCTGCATCGGCGTCCGTAGTTTTTGCTGCTGATGCTGAGAACGTTGTTTTGATGAAGAAGAAGCTTGAGAACACTTTAGTGGAAATTAGTGTCCAGCCTCCACCCTCGGTTTCCATGTCGCAAAAAGCCTGGAATGAGTCATCTGTGGAGCCTTCGTTTGGATCGATCCAATAAAGTCCGTTACCACAACCGTGACCTGAAAGAATAAAAAGTGATTAAACGAGAAATCGATTTCCCTCCGGAATAAATTATATGATGCAACTTGCCTGACTGGTTATTGTTCCAGTAATGAAGATTATATGACAAACGGCACTCGTATATGGGGCGTCTATATGCAATTGCAGGCCAGATTGGAATCTCTTTTTTTCAGCTGCCAGACTGCAAAGGTTTTCCAGCCCGTATCCCTCCCACGAACTGTGGCATGTGTGTGATAATTGGCAGATCTCCAAATTAAATCATTACTATATGCTATTGCTTAATTGAAGTGCAGACATGTTTTCATGTGAGTGAACCCTTCAGAAAGAAAGCCTAAATAAATCCTTGTTACAAGTTGTTGTTGTAGGTTGTGTAGTTTCATTAGAATACATGCGAATTTACTCCCGGACTCGAGAAGGAATTTTAAAACAATTAGCCACACAACCCTTAATTCCACGGAGGACCTGCACATTTAACGAGCTCGTTTGCTGTTCGTTTTTCTTACCGTTTCGGCCAATTCTACCACCCCTGCCTAAGTAATAGGAAGAAGAAATCAGTTTAATCAGTTAACAAAGTTATAGTTACAACATTGCATTTGAATAATGCCTGAAACACAACTGACAGACAAGAAAGGAAAAATTGGTTTATTTTCATTCCTTACCATCCCGACAAATACAATCAGTTAAACACGGTACGTTTTGTGCACGCTCCTCTACGCACGAGCTCATCAGCTAATTCCCTGTCACAGTGATAACTGATTCCTATCAAGAGCTCATGAAAGGGCGAAAACGATTACAAATGCGACATGGAGCGTTAGGACATACAACAGTACATAGATAATCGTGACTGTTGACAGATTTTGCACGTGAACACAGTATGACGGACGGTGGCATGATGTGGCCTCATGTATGTTAACGATTGAACACAGTTAGCAAAGTGTCATAAGTTTTGCCTTCTTTGGCTCTTTTACGCTCTGTGGATTTTCTACCAGCATTCAATGGTCTCCTTAGTGAATGTTAGGACAACTATATGGGCCAAAAATCATGTCAGCTCGAGAACATTCAGCAGACGGAACACTAATCAGTGACTAATTTTACTGCCACACGCATCCGACATGTATTTCATCGGTAAACTAGTCAGTGTTCGGTCCTCCTTGAGAAATCTCTCTCATGATGATCAGTAACTTAAGCTAAGCTGAGCTTTGAGTCCATGGTTTCCACACTTCCACTGGCGCAAATTTTTTCAAGGCATGCCCCAGTTTAAGTTAAGACAACGGGTCTGGTGTACGTACTTCTACATGAACGTGACAATGAAAGTAAAACTGCAAGGAAACCTGTGTGCCCAGTTTCTGGATAGGAATTAACTGTGGGCATCACTTCTTACCGCGTGAAATCGATACAGCTTTTACTGTTAAAAAGTGGAGGGCGAAATACTCCACACTTTCCCAGTTTCTACTATGTTATCAAACAGAACTCATACCTTAGAATTACGCCTTTCAGAGGGTGGCGTCGCTGAAATGTAAACAAGACAGTTAAGCAACAAAAGTGCAAACAATGAGGTGCTACGAAATTGCACTGCTGTGGACCCGGTGCAAACTGAGGCGGTAAGTTTCCCTCCTTTAGTGGGTCGACTTCAACAGTGCCGTTTCGGAAACCTTCCTCTTGCACTAGGCACGATCAGACACGACAGGTCCAAATATGTGTCATTACTGAAGTTAAAATTTGGCACTGAAATATGTGAGGAAAGATAGGTTGAAACCAGCGCGAAAAAAAAAACGTGGAATAACTTGAAAATATTAAAAAAAAGATTAAAATTGCACTCTTAGGTTACTTTAAAAGTGTCGAACTCAAGGGAGCTAAGTACTTTCACCTCAATGATGAAACTTGAAAAGGGTCGGATTGCACGTTTGTAACCTTTCATGTCGGGATAATAATCCCAAATCTACTCAGTCACTTAAGTTATTATTGAAAATGTTTGAAAATAAATGACTGAGATAGTGTAGAAACAAAGATGTGTGTAAACAGAAACAGACAAGTTTCTCTTAATAATTTTCCTCTCGGGATAAATGGGAATGAACTTGACACTGTCTAACTCTGTCATATTTCCTCTAGAATTGCAAGTTTCAAAATCAAGATTAAGAATGTGTGTCTCGTTTATTTATGATAGGACAAGGAATATTTTAAACAACCATAAGTTTCATAACGCGATATCACTCGATCGGGAAACAAGTGGAACAAAACAGAAACAATAAGTATTTCCGCTCAATAACAAACAAGAACAAAGCAATAACAAACAAGAAAAGGGCAATAACATAAAATTGAGGTTATCGAAGTGCTGTGCATTTCCACAACTTATCAAGAGGGTTAAAGATACCTAGAATCTTAAAATCAGAAGGCACTTTGAGAGAACAAAAGATATAAGTTAATAGAGAACGCAATTAAAAAACAACCCGTATATCTGCATCTTTAAAAATATTTATTAGAAGCAGTCACACCGAGATTATGATAATCCTTTATAATGATCGACATTAGTATCAAGTCTTATGATTAGCTCTAATTATTAAGACACAGTTTGGTTAGCTTTCGCAAAACAGCATTTTTTCTTAAATCCCTATACCTTTAAGAAACTTAGCAGCACCTTTTCTTTGTTTTCAACAACAGTTTGTTTCTATCGCACCATCACCCAGATTGGTTTGTTCAGGTAACAGTAGCCTGCGATACATTTGGTACCAATAGCGCGGCTGTCGTCGGAAGTCACGTAGTTGTTTAAGATTTCGGCACTATGCCACATGTCAATCCACTTGTCTGAGCCGACATGAGCTTCAGATATTCCGCCATTTAAATAGAAGTACAGCTTGGATATTGTGGCAAAACCAGAAGAGGGATTCCTCTTATTGTGATCTGCCGGGCTGTACTTGTAAAACCCGTGAATGTTCTTGATCGTACTGTAAGTTGTCCCCATTAAGAACTTGTCAAAGTCTGTTTTGTCCTTATTTGGATCGCCCGCCTTCCTGTTGTAAATAACCCGGATGGTACTGATGTCACTGAACCGGAACATGACCTCTTCCCAATCCCCCATGTCAGTGTGGATGTGACTCGCTGCATCGGCATCCGTGGTTTTTGCTGCTGATGTTGAGAATGCTGTTTTGATAAAGTGAAAGTTTGGGGACACCTTTGTGGCAACTAGTGTCCAACCTCCACCGTTAATGTCCATGTCACAAAAAGCCTGGAACGAGTCATCTTTTGAGCCACCGTTCGGATCGATCCAGTAAAGTCCGCTACCACGACTGTCACCTAGTGGGACAGAAGAGAAATAAAAATTCGAAGAAGCAGATCCAAGGGCCAAAGTCACTTTTGTTAAATGTTTAAAAAGCGTTATAAAGTATAATTTCTCAAGCTAGCTGTTATAAAATTCAAGATTAAAGCAGGAAGATCAAGTTTAAAACAGAATGGTGAAAGACAGAGCCACAACTTTCAGCTCCCGCGTTTGTGAAATAAAGTTTTCGCGGCTGTGTTTTTTCATTATCCTCAGTCTGCCGACTGCAGACCACTCTTCCCCTCTGTTATGACAGGAGCCCATTAATAGGCTCCTGACTATGGTTATGTTCCTTTCGAGCTAGTTTTAGGAGTGTCCTCTGGCTCGTATCTGCACTGTTTTCCCACAGTCAAGTTCCTTGCGGGTTGCTCTCTTCACCAGACACGATGTCAAGTAGTTTTAAAGGATATTAGTGATTGAGATGCTATCAAAGGATCTAACCTGCATTTAAAATATCTAGACAGTGACGGCCTGGATTTTGGGACTCGTGACCTTTCTTGACTTTCTTGGTGTCAGCGACAGGAGCAGTAAGCAGAAACAACCACGATCTACCGTCACAGAATTGCAACGCATTCTGGGACACATTATAACGAACGGTGCCAGCTGTATTCAGAGTGCAGTTGAATGCCGGAACGTCATCGAACTTAAAAATACCCCCAGGATGTTTTTTGGTTAAAGATGAGCCAGATTCACCTTTCTGGCCCTGAAAAATATCATTATGAGTCATAAAAATATACCATATGCTGTTCACAACAATTGTACGTGAGGCGTTTGATTTAAAATATAATTAATGAGAAAGAATGAATATAACTAAATATGTCCTAAAAAACTGTTTTTTTTTTTCAATGATTTCAATAAAGCGTGACATAGCTTGTTTATGAAGTGTCTTTAAAAAAACCCGTTTTTCATGGCTCGAAAGGAAAAGGCAAAATTTTTAAATTTGCCTTTTATCATGAAGTAAGTAGTAAATAGTAATATTGCGTTGTAATACATTTGATGACTTCGTGATCTCCCGCGATCGTTACCCGGTAACGATTTTAGGGGATCACGCATCAAATTATAATGGCATCACATGCACCAACCTTAAATCCTTGCCCGCCTTTATTTCCCTAAAAGAGTTAAATAGAAAATAAGTAACTGAAATTTTCAATGACAAATGTCAAGCTTTAGAAATTCTCACGAAATACCCAGAGAGACGGAGAAAACACCTTTTTTAAACGCCACACGCGACACCCGAAAGTCGTGTCAAGGAATGTGAAATCTCATGGAAAGCGTTAAGTTCTGCGAGATAGAAATAGTTCTGTCGGGCTGCTTTTGCCCCAAAAGCAGTTGATTTTATCGTTATTTGAAAAATCGCGCTCTCAGTACTTCCATCGCGAACTTTCAGGTAAGTGTCATGTCTTTCAAGGATAAAAGCAACTAGAGTAGTTTTTCTGTGTTACTTTTTACATTCATACTATTTATTAGGATGAGCAATCTGTGTCATTTCGGAACAACAAAAGAACCAGTAACCTTGATTCCCCTCATTCCGTCATCTCCTGGCGCTCCTTGCAAACCTTGTTCTCCCCAAAATAACGTGATTATAAGAAACAATAGCTTTCTCATCAAACTACGTTGGCCAAAGAAGCGGCAAAAGAAATTGATTTCATCGTCATTTGAAAAATTGCGTTCTTATAATTCCACTGCGAACTTTCATGTGAGTGTCATGTCTTTCAGGGATAAAAACAATGAGAATAGTTTTCCGGTGTCACTTTTTACATTCATACTATTAGAATAAGTAAAATATGTCATTCCGGAACAACAGAAGAACCAGTAACCTTGATTCCCCTCATTCCTTCATCTCCTGGCGCTCCTTGCTCACCTTTTTCTCCCTAAAATAACGCAACAAAAGAAGCCGAATAGCTTTCTTATTAAACTACGTAATACAATCCCCTGCAGAATATCCTACACCCCAGCACGATGTAGTCTGCGGGACAAGTGAGACTTTTTTGAAAGGTTTTTCAAGTGAAAAACACAAAGAATAATGCATATTCCGCAGGTTAAAACCAACAGTAATACAGAGAAATCGAGACAACAATAAGAAGAATGGCTTCTGTAAGAACAGATATCGTAGCTTCCACACCGACCTTTTCTCCAGCATTTCTTCCGTCACGTCCATCACGGCCATCTTTACCTTGTTTGATTAAACATAAAATCAATCACAACGCTATAAGTTTTATTCAAATTTAGGACAGCTAAGAAAATTCTATGAATTCTTATAGGTAGAATGTAGTGTTTGCCTGCGGCTTTTTTATTTTTGTTTTTATGGGAGGTTTATTTCTATCGATCAAAAACGCTGCATTTGCTTTTCAGTTTGCAAGGTTGTGTAAGTTGTGTAGTTTCATTAGAATACAAGCGAATTTACTCCCGGACTCGAGAAGGAATTTTAAAACAGTTAGCCACACAACCCTTAATTCCACGGAGGATCTGCACATTTAACGAGCTCGTTTGCTGTTCGTTTCTCTTACCATTTCGGCCATCTCTACCATCCCTGCCTAAGTAATAGGAAAAAGAAATCAGTTTAATCAGTAAACAAAGTTAAACACAACTGGCAAACAAGAAAGGAAAAATTGATTTATTTTCATTCCTTACCATCCCGACAAATACAATCAGTTAAACACAAATTTCCGCTCCCAGTTTGGTGTGTTGCATTTGAACAAACCTAGAAAACAAACAAACATATAAACAAACAGAAAAAAAATAGAGTCGTCTTTCAAAATGATCACTACTAAGAGGGTGGACATTTAAATCAGAGTTATATGTGGTCAGTCGAAATCACAAGTTCTTTTTCTTCTAAATCTGTCACGCTCGAAGGTCGCCTGTCGTAATATATCCTGTATGCTATGTTGGGTTACTCTCTGTCGGATTAAGGCTTTTATTTTGAAAGCTGAGCATCGACAATTTCTTATAAAGAATGTTTATTTTCACAATTTTGCTTCTACTCAAAGATGCCGTTTACTAGATGACTGTCAAAAGGGAATTTTGCAATTTATAGCTGGTACGTTTTGTGCACGCTCCTCTGCGCACGAGGTCATCAGCTAATTCCCAGTCGCAGTGATAACTGATTCCTATCAAGAGCTCATGAAAGGGCGAAAACGATTACAAATGCGACATGGAGCGTTAAGACATACAACAGTACATAGATAATCGTGACTGTTGACAGATTTTGCACGTGAACACAGTATGACGGACGGTGGCATGATGTGGCCTATGCATGTCAACGATTGAACACAGTTGGCAAAGTGTCATAAGTTTTGCCTTCTTTTTGATTCTTCGTCAATGTTGTCTCTTTTACGCTCTGTGGATTTTCTACTAGCATTCAATGATCTCCTTAGTGAATGTTCAGACAACTATATGGGCGAAAAATCATGTCAGCTCAAGAACATTCAGCAGACGGAACACTAATCAGTGACTAATTTTACTGCCACACGCATCCGCCATGTATTTCATCAGTAAACTAGTCAGTGTTCGGTTCTCCTTGAGAAATCTCTCTCATGATGATCAGTAACTTAAGCTAAGCTGAGCTTTGAGTCCATGGTTTCCACACTTCCACTGACGCAAATTTTTTCAAGGCATGCTCCAGTTTAAGTTAACACAACGGGTCTGGTGTACGTACTTCTGCATGAACGTGACAATAAAAGTAAAACTACAAGGAAACTTGTGTGCCCAGTTTCTGGGTAGGAATTAACTGTGGGCATCACTTCTTACCGCGTGAAATCGATACAGCTTTTACTGATGAAAAGTGGAGGGCGAAATACTCCACACTATCCTAGTTTCTACTGTGTTATTAAACAGAACTCATACCTTAGAATTACGCCTTTCAGAGGGTGACATCGCTGAAATATTCACAAGACAATTAAGCAAAAGAAGTGCAATCACTGAGGTGCTTAGAAATTGCATTGCTGTGGACTCGGTGCAAACTGAGGCTCAATGTATTCTTTTGGCGGTAAGTTTCCCTCCTTTTAGTGGGACGACTTCAACAGTGCCGTTTCGGAAACCTTCCTCTTGCACTAGGCACGATCAGACACGACAAGTCCAAATATGTGTTCTTATTGACGTTAACATTTGGCACTAAAATATGTGGGGAAAGACAGGTTGAAACAAGCGCGAAAAAAGAAAACGTGGCATAACTTGAAAATATTGAAAAAAAGATTAAAACTGCACTCTTAGGTTACTTTAAAAGTGGCGAACTCAAGGGAGCTAAGTACTTTCACCTAAATGGTGAAACTTGAAAAAAGTCGGATTGCAAGTTTGTAACCTTTCATGTCAGGATAATAATCCCAAATCTACTCAGTCACTTAAGTCATTATTTAAAATGTTTAAAAATAAATGAACGAGATAGTGTAGAAACAAAGATGTGTGTAAACAGAAACAGACAAGTTTCTCTTAATAACTTTCCTCTTAATATAAATGGGAATGAACTTGACACTGTCTAACTCTGTCATATTTCCTCTAGAATAGCAAGTTTCAAAATCAAGATTAAGAATGTGTGTCACCTTTATTTATGATAGGACACGGAATATTTCAAACAGCCATAAGTTTCAGGACGCGATATCACTCGGTCGGGAAAAAGGTGGAACAAAACAGAAACAGAAGTATAACGAATAAGTATTTTCGCTCAATTACAAACAAGAAAAGGGCAACAACATAAAATTGAGATTATCGAAGAGCTGTGCATTTCCACAACTTATCAAGCGGGTTAAAGATACCGAGAATCTTAAAATTAGAAGGCACTTTGAGAGGACAAAAGATATAAGTTAATAGAGAACACAATTAAAAAAACAACCCGTATATCTGCATCTTTAAAAATATTTATTTGAAGCAGTCACACCGAGATTATGGTAATCCTTTATAATGATCGACATTAGTATCAAGTCTTCTGATTAGCTCTTATTACTAAGACAACACAGTTTGGTTAGCTTTCGCAACACAGCATTTTTTATTAAATCCCAACACCTTACAGAAACTTAACAACGCCTTTTCTTTGTTTTCAACTACAGTTTGTTTCTATCGCACCATCACCCAGATTGGTTTGTTCAGATAACAGTAGCCTGCGATACATTTGGTACCACGTGCGCGGTTGTCGTCGGCGAATATATAGTTGTCTGTATAGTTATCTTCAGTATCCCAAATGTCAAGCCACTTGTCCGTGCCATGTCGGTGAACTTCGGAAATCCCACGTTTTGCGTAGAAGTAAAGGCTAGATATTGACGCAAAAGTCGTTGGAGGATTTTTCTTGTTTTTATCTGCCGGGCTGTACTTGTAAAACCCGTGGATGTTCTTGATCGTACTGTAAGTTGTCCCCATTAAGAACTTGTCAAAGTCTGTTTTGTCCTTATTTGGATCGCCCGCCTTCCTGTTGTAAATAACCCGGATGGTACTGACGTTACTGAACCGGAACGTGACCTCTTCCCAGTCCCCCATGTCAGTGTGGATGTGACTCGCTGCATCGGCATCCGTGGTTTTTGCTGCTGATGTTGAGAATACTGTTTTGATAAAGTTAAAGCTTGGGGACACCTTTGTGGCAACTAGTGTCCAACCTCCACCGTTAGTGTCCATGTCACAAAAAGCCTGGAACGAGTCATCTTTTGAGCCACCGTTCGGATCGATCCAGTAAAGTCCGCTACCACGACTGTCACCTAGTGGGACAGAAGAGAAATAAAAATTCGAAGAAGCAGACCGAAGGGCCAAAGTCACTTTTATTAAATGTTTAAAAAGCGTTATTAAGTATAATTTCTCAAGCTAGCTGTTACAACATTCAAGATTAAAGCAGGAAGATCAAGTTTAAAACAGAATGGTGAAAGACAGAGCCACAACTTTCAGCTCCCGCGTTTGTGAAATGAAATTTTCGAGGCTGTGTTTTTTCATTATCCTCAGTCTGCCGACTGCAGACCACTCTTCCCCCCTGGTAAAATACGTTATGACAAGAGCCCATTAATGGGCTCCTGATTATGGTTATGTTCCTTTCGAGCTAGTTTTAGGAGTGTCCTCTGGCTCGTATCTGCACTGTTTTCCCACAGTCAAGTTCCTTGCGGGTTGCTCTCTTCACCAGACACGATGTCAAGTAGTTTTAAAGGATATTAGTGATTGAGATGCTATCAAAGGATCTAACCTGCATTTAAAATATCTAGACAGTGACGGCCTGGATTTTGGGACTCGTGACCTTTCTTGACTTTCTTGGTGTCAGCGACAGGAGCAGTAAGCAGAAACAACCACGATCTACCGTCACAGAATTGCAACGCATTCTGGGACACATTATAACGAACAGTGCCAGCTGTATTCAGAGTGCAGTTGAATGCTGGGACGTCATCGAACTTAAAAATATCCCCAGGATGTTTTCTGGTTAAAGATGAGCCAGATTCACCTTTCTGGCCCTGAAAAATATCATTATGAGTGATAAAAATATACCATAAGCTGTTCACATCAATTGTACGTGAGGCGTTTGATTTAAAATATAGTTAATGAGAAATAATGAATATAACAAAATATGTCCTAAGAGTCTGTTTTTTTTTTCAGGGATCTCAATAAAGCGTGACATAGCTTGTTTATGAAGTGTCTTTAAAAAAACCCGTTTTTCATGGCCCGAGGGGACAAGGCAAAATTTTCAAATTTGCCTTTTATCATGAAGTAAGTAGTAAATAGTAATATTGCGTTGTAATACATTTGATGATTTCGTGATCTCCCGCGATCGTTACCCGGTAACGATTTTAGGGGATCACGCATCAAATTATAATGGCATCACATGCACCAACCTTAAATCCTTGCCCGCCTTTATTTCCCTAAAAGAGTTAAATAGAAAATAAGTAACTGAAATTTTCAATGACAAATGTCAAGCTTTAGAAATTTCACGAAATACCCAGAGAGACGGCACACGCGACACCCGAAAGTCGTGTCAAGGAATGTGAAATCTCGTGTAAAGCGTTAAGTTCTGCGAGATATAGAAGTAGTTCTGTCAGGCTCCTTTTGCACCAAAAGCAGTTGATTACATCTTCATTTGAAAAATCGCGCTCTCAGTACTTCCATTGCGAACTTTCAGGTGAGTGTCATGTCTTTCAAGGATAAAAGCAATTAGAGTAGTTTTTCTGTGTTACTTTTACACTAATACTATTTATTAGGATAAGCAATCTGTGTCATTTCGGAACAACAAAAGAACCAGTAACCTTGATTCCCCTCATTCTGTCATCTCCTGGCACTCCTTGCAAACCTTGTTCTCCCTAAAATAACGTGATTACAAGAAACAATAGCTTTCTCATTAAACTACGTTGGCCAAAGAGCGGCAAAAGCATTTGATTTCATCGTCATTTGAAAAATCGCGCTCTCAGTACTTCCACTGCGAACTTCCAGGTGAGTGTCATGTCTTTCAAGAATGAAAACAATGAGAATAGTTTTCCTGTGTTACTTTTTACATTCATACTATTAGAATAAGTAAAATATGTCCTTTCGGAACAAAAAAAGAACCAGTAACCTTGATTCCCCTCATTCCGTCATTTCCTGGCGCTCCTTGCTCACCTTTTTCTCCCTAAAATAACGCAATAAAAGAAGCCGAATAGCTTTCTTATTAAACTAGGTAATACAATCTCCTGCAGAATATCCTACATCCCAGCACAATGTAGTCTGCGGGAGAAGTGAGACTTTTTAAAAGATTTTTCAAGTGAAAAACACAAAGAATGATGCATATTCCGCAGGTTAAAACCAACAATAATGAGAAGAAACCGAGAAAACAATAAGAAGAATGGCTAATGTAAGAACAGATATCGTAGCTTCCACACCCACCTTTTCTCCAGCATTTTTCCCGTCGCGTCCATCACGGCCATCTTTACCTTGTTTAATTAAACATAAAATCAATCACAGCGTTATTTTTTTTCAAGTTTAATACAGCTATGAAATTCTATGAATTCTTATAGGTAGGATGTAGTGTTTGCGTGTGGCTTTTTTATTTTTGTTTTTATTGGAGGTTTATTTCTATCGATCAAAAACGCTGCATTTGCTTTTCAGTTTGCAAAGTTGTGTAAGTTGTGTTATTTCATTAGAATACAAGTGAACTTACTCTCGGACTCGAGAAGGAATTTTAAAACAAATTAGCAAAATTAAGCCACATAACCCTTAATTTCAAGGAGGACCTGCACATTTGACGAGCTCGTTTGCTGTTCGTTTTTCTTACCGTTTCGGCCATCTCTACCATCCCTGCCTAAGTAATAGGAAGAGGAGATCAGTCTATAAAAAGTTACAGTTACAACAGTGCATTTGAATAATGGCTGAAACACAACTGACAGACGAAACAAAAGTGCTCTGTGAGCAAACTCGTGAATTGACACATGATTTTTTAGATTATGTTTAATGTTATCTGGTTTAGGGAATTTTGTGGTTGATTGTCATATCTAGAGTACGAGCAGTAGTTCAGTGTTCGCTAATGTAGCAAAGAAACAAAGTAACGTTGGGATAAGAAGGCATTACAATTGAAATGATCATGCTATTACATTTGACAAGGTGGATGATGTCATGTGTTTTAAACGTCTATCGTCTGGTTCAAAAGAAAAGGTTGGAAGTAGATGTCGGTGAAAAGTGAAATTTACTGTCTTTCGTTGTAAATATTAGAAAATCAAGGCAATACTGTCTTAATGAAAACATTAACGATTCACTCTTTATCAAATGAGACAAACGAGAACGAGTTTTGAGTGATATAACTAAGCCAAGCCTGCCACCGTCATTTTGGATCTCCGCCTGGGTAGATTTAAGTCACGTGCTAGGCAACGTATAATCAATAACAAGATAGAATTTCATTTCAGGCCTATTTATCAATTTTGTGGCGTGTAACTTTCGCATTTTAGTACGTTGTATGTATGTTGAATCTTCAAATTGTCTTGAAACTTAAAAGAAAATTGTTCTTTAAAAATTCACTGAAAATCGGTAGCTAAAATTGTTTGTTTAGGTGTTATTTGATTTTCGTGTTAACTTGTAGTTTCGTCAGTCGCCGGCATCTTCTGTTGCTTCACACAGGAAAAACACACGCGACGAAACGTAATGATCAATTTTGTCCTCAATCTCACGCCATAACAGAAAAAGCTTTTGAACATCTGCAAACTCCGAGCGCTTCGCAGTAAGTGATATTTTCAATGAATCTTCGGATTGTTTTCAAGTTCAATGATTGCAAATTACAATTTTATGAAAAACGAAGGTTGTTCTGTTATTTTAGTGTGAATCCTTGCATGCCTGCCAGTCGCTGGTGCCGCTTGTTGAAACTAAAACGAGAAAAAAAAACTCTTTTAAGATTATCATTGGCTTCTTTTTCACCCCACCACTATTCTTAGCAACAAAGGTCGCCATTTCGTCTGTTTATTGCTCGCCAAAAACTATCAAATGCACTCAAAAGCCTAAAATCTAAAAAAAGTTTACAGGAATCGACCAATCGAGCGAGCGAGCGAGCGAGCGAATGCCATTCCCCACATCGTATCTATAACTCGCTCTTGCGCATGCGCGCAATTCACGAGTTAAAAAGGAAAAATTGATCTATGTTCGTTACTTACCATCCCGGCAAATATAATCAGTGAACCACGAATTTCCGCACCGAGTTTGGTGTGTTGCATTTGAGCAAACCTAAAAAAAACACAAAGACAAATAGACAAACAGAAAAAAAATTAGAGTCGTCCATCAAAATAATCACTTTAAGTAGTTTGATATTTAAATCAGGATTATATGTGGGCAGTCGAAATCCCAAGTTCTTTTTCTTCTGTCACGCTCGAGGGTCCCCTGTGATAAAATATACCATGATGGGTTACTCTCTGTCGGATTAAGGCTTTCATTTGACAACTGAGCATCGACAATATCTTATAAAGAATGTTTACTTTCACAATTTTGCTTCTACTCAAAGATTCAGTTTTACTAGGTGGCTGCCAAAAGGGAATTTTCCAATTTAAAGCTGGTACGTTTTGTGCACGCTCCTCTGCGCACGAGGTCATTAGCTAAATCGCTGGCGTAGTGATAACTGATTCCTATCAAGAGCTCATGAAAGGGAGAAAAAGATTACAAATGCGACATGGAGCGTTAGGACATACAACAGTACATAGATAATCGTGAATTTTGACAGATTTTGCACGTGAACACAGTATGACAGACGGTGGCATGATGTAGCCCCATGCATGTTAACTTCTGAGTGGGCAAAGTTTCACAAACTTTGCCTTCTTTTGGATTTTTCGTCAATGTTGTCTTTTTTACGCTTTGCGAATTTTTTACCAGAATTCATTGGTCTCCTTAGTGTTAAGACAACTAAATTGGCGAAAAAAATCATGTTAGCTTGAGAACATTCAGCAGAGAAGACTACTTAGCGACTAATTTTACTGCCATACACATCCGACATGTATTTCACCGGTAAGCCATTAGTGTTCGGTTCTCCTTGAGAAATCTCTCCAATGATGATCAGTAATCAACTTAAGCTAAGCTGAGCTTTGAGTCTATGGTTTCCAACCTTCAAGCACAATGGCATGCCCCAGTTTAAGTTAGCACAACGGGTCTGGTGTACATACTTCTGCATGAACATGATAACGAAAGTAAAACTACAGCGAAACCCGAGTGTCCAGTTTCCGAATAGGAATTCACTGAGGGCGTTACTTCCTACCGAGTGAAATCTTGTAGCCTCAATCGATGCAGGTTTTACTGCTAAAAAGTGGAGGGTGATATATTCCACACTTTCCTAGTTTCTATTGTGTTATCAAACAGAACTCATACCTTAGAATTACGCCTTTCAGAGGGTGACATCGCTGAAATATACACAAGACAATTAAGCAACAAAAGTGCAATCACTGAGATGCTCAGAAATTGCATTGCAGTGGACCCGGTGCAAACTGAGGCTCAATGTGTTCTTATGGCAGTAACTTTCCCTCCTTCAGTGGGACGACTTCGACAGTGTCGTTTTGGAAACCTTTCTTTGCATTAGGCACGATCAGACACGACAGGTCAATATCTGTATCTTTAAAAATATTTATTTTAAGCGTCAACCCAAGATTATGATAATCCTTTATAATGATCGAAACTAGTATCAAGTCTTCTTACTAGCTTTTATTACTAAGACAACACAGTTTGGTTAGCTTTCGCAAAATAGCATTTTTTAACATCCCAACACCTTACGGAAACTAAACAGCGCTTTTTCTTTGTTTTCAACTATAGTTTGTTTCTATCGCACCATCACCCAGATTGGTTTGTTCAGATAACAGTAGCCCGCGATACACTTGGTACCGCGCGCGCGGCGGTCGTCGGAAGTGACGTAGTTGTTTGAGCCGTCAGCACCATACCACATGTCAATCCACTTGTCGGTGCCTCCATGATCTTCAGATATTCCGTATTTTGAAAAGAAGTACAGCCTAGATATTGTGGCAAAATCAGAAGACGGATTCCTCTTATTGTGATCTGCCGGGCTGTACTTGTAAAACCCGTGGATGTTCTTGATCGTATTGTAAGTTGTCCCCATTAAGAACTTGTCAAAGTCTGTTTTGTCCTTATTTGGAGCGCCTGCCTTCCTGTTGTAAATAACCCGGATGGTATTAACGTCATTGAACCGGAACATGACCTCCTCCCAGTCCCCCATGTTGGGATGGATGTGACTCGCTGCATCGGCGTCTGTGGTTTTTGCCGCTGACGCTGAGAATGCTGTTTTGATGATTAGGAAGCTTGGGGACACCTTTGCGGCTACTAGTGTCCAACCTCCACCCTCAGTCTCCATGTCGCAAAAAGCCTGGAACGAGTCACCTGTCGAGCCTCCGTTTGGATCGATCCAGTACAGTCCGCTATCACGACTGCCACCTTAAACAGAGCATTAAGATGATTTGGGATTTTTTTTAGCTCAAGCATTTTTCAAACCCTTTAAAAAATAAAAATCTCACCTGATTTTAGGATATCCATACAGTGAAGGCCAGGTCTATTGGCCACGTGACCTTTCCCTCCGATTACCAATGGCAACCAAGCACTTCCATCGCAGAGTTGCAAGGCTTTTTGGGAGACATTGTAACGAACCGTGCCAGCAGTTCGCAGAGTACATTTCTCAGCGGTGTCACCAAACTTGACGGCACCTTGAGGTGATTTACCCGCCGGACCGGTTTCGCCTTTTTGACCCTGAAAAAATAAAAAATTAAAAGTGTTCATTTCATGATTAAAAATTAAAAACAAAGTACATCTTACAAATCGATGCAGAAGATATTTGAGCAATGGCCAGAGAACTCTGTGGTAGAGTTGCGACAGTAGGTACAGAATTTTACTTTCGCTTAAGTCGGTGGTAATGCTTTCAAATGGCCACGGTTTACCAGGTGAGGGTTTTTTTTCTGGTTTTGCTTAAACTTCCCTTAACAAGGGGACTGCTTTTTTTCCTTCTTTCTACTTTTTTTTTCTTTTACTGTTTTGTTGTTTGGCAGATAAGTTAAGTTAGATTTTCATAAAAAACCTTAAAAACTCGAAGTGAGGTTTTTTAGGAAAAATCATCGACCGACCTTTGTTCCATTTATTCCATCTTTCCCATGAAAGCCCTGCTCTCCTTTGACTCCCTAAGTATAATATTCAAAAAGAAATATTACATCACAATCATACTTGTTGTTGCTTCCATGAATAAGTTTTATTATTTGCCCTTTTTGTGGTTTTGAAGTTAAGTTGGTAAGAAATTTTAACACCAACCTTTAAACCGTTCATTCCATCGTTTCCCGTCGGTCCTCGTTCTCCTCTGTCTCCCTGAAAAGAAGAAACCTTTCGTTAAAGCTTGTGACTGAGATGATAATGACAAAAAGATTGCGAGCTTTGGTAATAAAAATCAAGTGAGGTCGCTTTTCTCACCCTGAAATAAAATTTAGAAAAAGTATCTTTTAAATACAATAGGTGCCGCTTTAAGAAAGTTTGAAGTTTTAGACGCTTTCATTTACTGTCCTCTTTGATCTGAAGAAAATCATACGACATGAGGACAGAGAATCGTCAAAATATTCAGTGTATTTATTATACTCAGCGATCTTATAACTTCACTACTAAGCTCAAATGACGCCGGTCTATGTAACTCTTGAGGAGTCTGTCAGTCTCTAAAAATAAAATTTAACTTATCGGAAAATTTGCCCAAAATATACATATGATTCAACTCCAACGCGGTTATTTAATTCAGAGTTCTGTAAACAATATTCCCTTAGTTTGAGAGCGGTTTGTGATTTGAAAGAACATCCTCTACATCTTTCTTTTCTTTTCTTCCGTTTTCGCTTGTGGTGTTTGTCCTTCAGTACTTTGTTCATTTCTTCACACCAACCTTTGTTCCTATCTTCCCGTCGCGTCCATCGCGGCCATCTTTTCCTTCAATCAAAGACAAATAAATATTTGCTGTGAGGGAATTTCATGAAGCAAAAGATATTTTCGAGAGACATTTTAGTATTTCAAGTATCCTTTCGGAGAAACGTAGTCGTCTACAAGCACACTTTGTTCTTAACTATACATTGCTGGCAGAACACTCTCACCCAATTATAGGTGTTAAAGCGATTCAGTGTTTATTACAAAAAAAAAACCTTTAAAGTGCGACTTAACTATCCAAGACTTTTGTTGGTTATTCCATACCGTTTTGGCCATCTCTGCCGTCTCTGCCTGAAAAAATAAGGGTGAAAAAGGGTCGTTAATGTGAAAGAAAACATAAAATATCAAGAAATTGCAAATTCCATTTGGGCAAAATATCAAACTCAGCAAGTTGTGATACGTTCATACCGTCGCGGCAGGAACAACTGTCCTTCGAAACGGACTTTCCGCACTGACTTTGCTGTGTTCCATTCTTCGAACCCTGAAAAAAAAAAGGGAGATCTAGCTCGAACAACGTGGTACGACTCTAAACTGTGTAGCGTTCAGCATGAATATTTAAGAACGTTTATTCATCCACAAAGAGACGATATGTCTTGGTATTTACTGACAAAAAATTCCCACTTACAAATTGGTTCTTTGAGACTGCAAAGGTACTCAGGATAAAAACGAAGCTTAGTGCAAATAATAATCGGAACATCTTGGCTTCCTCTTCTTTTCCTGAAAGTTTCTTCGGAATAAAAACAGAGTTTCAAGACGTGACCATTTTAATGCAAAGTTAGTTGAATATTTGCATTTCATCAGAACGAGAAAAAAAGGCATGAGAGCGGTTCAGACAATTTGTTATGATCTTTTTCTTTTTGTGGATTTTTTGCTTTTCGTCTTTCATACACCAAACCTTTCCTTTTGAATGGCGTATTTGACTGGCGATATCTCCCAAAGCCAATTTCGTTCCGTCAGTGTATTTCACAAAAACACACGATATACATTATTGTTTGTATAAATATATGCAAAGCTCATATCCCCGGTGTCACTGAAGGAATACAATAATTTATGCTATAAGACAGTTTTTGATAAGGATAGCGTGACGTACAGGTCACGCTGGTTCATTTAGAATCGATCTGCCGGCATCAGTCTTTTTAGAATTAATGAGTCTTCGTTGCGCGCGAGGCTCTTAAAGCATAGAAACGCCTCGCACCACTTTTTAAATAGCTGCTTACTGGTGACTTTCGTTCTTGAACTCTTATAATTGGCTCATCTATTCCAATTCGAGGATGGCGGCTTCAGATCACGGTTTATCGTGGAGCCCAAACATTTCTGTAACTTGACAAGTGAACATAATTCCCGTTGAAAAAGGTCAATTTTCTTCTATCGCTACTCTCTAGAGTTTCTCCTCGCAGCAGAATTTTTTAGCTTTAGAGATTTCCTTGAAGTCGGTTTCACAGATACATCGGCGCGGCCGCCATTTTGTTAACTCAACCCAGATCTTTTCTTCCGTCGCTTTTGGCCTTTAATTAGTTTGGGTTGCATTTGTGTGATCAACTGGATTCAGAGATTTCTTCCCCGCTTCCTCCTTCTTTGAGGGTTTTTTTCCCCCACAGAGTGGTATGTTGCTCGTTTTAATCAGATTGCCGCATTGGTGTATTCTTGCACCAATCAGAATGCCGCATTAGTGTATTCTTGCACCAATCACAGTGTCAGGGAATTGCCCCTCATGCCAATCATGCCATACAATGACTGAGTTGCCAGTAAAACATCTTTGGCTGTCTTCAGATTTCAAATAAATAACCGTTATTGGAAATTTTTTTTTCTCAACGTTAAAGCTGTTGTATGCTGAGAAAATGTGTGCCTACAGAAATATAGCACACCCTCAATTTTCCTGAGACTTTGTCATGACATTTTGTAAACTTGTTATCAATCGATTTGTAATACCGAAAAAAAAAAAAAAAAAGGAACGCTTTGGAGGCATTCAGTGCTTCTTGTAGGACTATGATTCGGGTTCATTAAAGTTGAAGTCGGGTTCTATTCAACTAAACTGAGAAAAACAAGAGAATCCCTGAAAGAATTGTGTTTTCCCTGATTTGGTTTAATCAGATGGCACATAACTTGACCGGTATATGATTTAAAACGTAATACCGCCGAAAATTTGGTTAAAGCGGGGAATGTTTTCAACGGTATTTATTCTCTTTATCCAATCACCAACCTTACATTATCCAATACAATTTAGCTCTTGATACAACTACAACAAAGCTTTGCTGTCTTACATAGTTACCCTTCTATCCTAACATCTTACAGAAACTTGACAGCGCCTTCTATTGGTTTTCAACTACAGTTTGTTTCTATCGCACCATCACCCAGATTGGTTTGTTCAGATAACAGTAGCCTGCGATACACTTGGTACCACGCGCAAGGCGGTCGTCGGAAGTGACGAAGTTGTTTGAGCTTTGGGCACTATGCCACATGTTAATCCACTTGTCTGTGCCATCATGAACTTCAGATATTCCGTATTTTGAATAGAAGTGCAGCTTGGATATTGTGGCAAAACCAGAAGAGGGATTCCTCTTATTGTTATCAGCCGGGCTGTACTTGTAAAACCCGTGGATGTTCTTGTTTTGATTGTAAGTTGTTCCCGATAAGAACTTATCGAAGTCTGTTTTGTCGTTATTTGGAGCGATCGCCTTTCTATTGTAAATAACCCGGATGGTGCTGACGTCACTGAACCGGAACATGACCTCTTCCCAGTCCCCCATGTTCGGGTGGATGTGACTTGCTGCATCGGCGTCTGTAGTTTTTGCTGCTGATGCTGAGAACGTTGTTTTGATGAAGATGAAGCTTGAGGACACTTTGGTGGAAATTAGTGTCCAGCCTCCGCCCTCGGTTTCCATGTCGCAAAAAGCTTGGAATGAGTCATCTGTCGAGCCTCCGTTTGGATCGATCCAATAAAGTCCGTTACCACGACCGTGACCTGGAAGAATAAAAAGTGATTAAACGAGAAATCGATTTCCCTCCGGAATAAATTATATGATGCAATTTGCCTGACTGATTATTGTTCCAGTACTGAAGATTAGATGACAAACGGCACTTGTATATGGGGCGTCTACATGCAATTACAGGCCAGATTGGAAGCTCTTTTTTTCAGCTGCCAGACTGCAAAGGTTTTCCAGCCCGTATCCCTCCCACGAACTGTGGCATGTGTGTGATAATTGACAGATATCCAAATTAAATCATTACTATATGCTATTACTTTATTGAGGTGCAGACATGTTTTCATGTGAGTGAACCCTTCAGAAAGAAAGCCTAAATAAATCCCTGTTACACCTTACAGTTTAAATTAGACTCTTCTTGAGTCGAGGATTACGCCGCAAGTCTGCCCCGACCTTTGCTGAAAATAAATTAGGATTTCTAGATTTCACGTAAGTTGATTTAGTTGCTCACAAATAATCGGCAACGAGAGTTCCCAGAGACCTATTGGTTTCCTCTTGTATTTCCAGAAAACAGAGCGTACATCGGCGGTTTATTTATTTTAAGCGGGCAGGAAGCATAAATCAGTTTAAAACCTAGACTAAACTATAAATGTGTTACAATGAAGGGAAAAATTCGTAGTTCTCTATTTTCTCTTTACAAGGACGCTTTATCTCAAACTCACCTGACTTCAAAATATCTAGACAATGACGTCCCGGTTCATTAGCAGCGAGACCTTTCCCGCCAATCACCACCGGTAACCAAGCTTTACCATTGCACCATTCCAAAGCATTTTGGGAAGCATTATAGCGAACAGCACCAGCGATACTCCTTGCACATATTCCAGCGGTGTCAGGACGTTCAGCTGAGACACAAGACTCACCTTTTTCACCCTCGAAGCAAAAACGTGCGAACAACAGTTTCGTAAAGTTAAATTTATGTCGACAAAAATGGGTTGGTTGGAAGAAATTGAGAGAAAGATTATGACAAAGAGTCGTAAACGGCCATGAAAATGGATGCTTGGCCTCAACAATAACCCCTCCCCCTCCCCCCCTTAAAAAAAGATGCTGATTCACTTAAATTATGAGATATGAAATATAATTATTATAGATCTTAATTTCATACGATTTTCTATGCAAGAGCTTAGACTCTCACTCAAACCAAATGTTCGGACGTTCTTTCTCTCTCTTCTTTCCTTTTTTCATTTTAATAATTAGTATTTTTTTACCAACCTTCGCTCCGTTTCTCCCGTCTCTTCCGTCGCGGCCATCTTTACCTTGGACGCCTTGCGGGCCTTGAATACCTCGGATGCCTTGAATACCTTGTACACCTAAGAAAAAAAAGAAAAAAGGTAGTGCGATGCTGATTTTTTAAAAATATCCTTGGTTGTCAGCGGAGTAGAACTAGTTCTAGAACAGGGATGAGTTCGACTGAAATAAAATAATATTATCGGCATAGCTCCGTTCACACTGACGTGTGATTGGCCAGACATAGGATAACGGGTTGACTTACAGCCTGTGTCGCCGATCTTGGACATCTCTTTTGCGAGAAAAAATGATAGGACAAAATACGTTGGAACTGAGCTTAGGTTATCCATGTCTTCTGGCCAAATACTATCCGTGCGACCTTACCTTTTCATTCGGTTATAAGCTTCTTAATCATGATAGGAAAATAGAAAAAAAATCATTTACTGTCCGATTGAAAAAAACATTCTTATACCATTGTGACCATCCCGACCATCTCTACCTAAAAGATAAAATTAAAAAAAATCTTATCAATCAGAAGTGACCCGGAAGTGAAGAAATTCGTACACGATGGAACCTCCATTAAGGGGATACCCTGAGGACCTGGGCATGCGTCATATGCAAAAAAATTGATGAATGGGGTTTATTAATAATTAATCATCACAAAAAGACAACATCACGTTTTACTATCCTGTCTTGGAATCCTCTAAAGTCTTTATTGAAAGCAGTTATATTGTATATATATTTTACGAAACAGGCTTTTAGGGATGAAAGCATAGTCTCTCTGTTTTTCCCCCTATCGCAACATATATATATATATATATATATATATATATATATAACATAAGTAACATAATTAAAATAATTAACTGACTCTGCGATATTGTGGATATTTTATTTGAATATATCTCCTATAGCGACACAAATACTTTGGTTAAATGGCTTAAGTAAAAATTTAAGGAACTGCTTTTAACAAACTTAAATAAAGCCAAAGTGGCAGACTATTTCTGCCCCCGATGCACGCATTTCTAACTCATGAACTGAAACTAATTTGGCTCAGAAATTTGACTCCAGAAGAAATGATCAGCAAAGTTAACCTTTGGCAATTAATCAGTCCATAGATGTCATCAAATGCTGTACGGTATGAAGAAGGTTATTTTTTGAAAGTTGTCATCATTGTGAAAACCGACTTTTCATTTCAATGTTGTATTGTTCCGTCATCTGTTCAGTAATTACCGTCGCGACAGCAACAGCATTCCTTTGAATCAGACTTTCCACAGTGGTTTTGTTGTGCATCGTTTCCAGAGTCCTGCGGTAATCAACATAAACAATTAAAATGCACTATTCAGAATTCTCGATCGATTTAACTATAAGGTGTTACATGAAAAGAACCCTAAATTCCAATCCACACGTAAGATGCAAACCAAGCTGTTTAATATATGAGGAGAAGAATTGCGAAATCAGTCATTAATACATAAAATTGAAAGAAAAAACACTTTATGCTCTGCAGTCCTAATATATTGCACAACTTAATCAAACTTACCAATTTATTCTGTGGGGTTGAACAAGAGCTCAAGGCAACAACAGAGGTCAACACAATTAGTAATCGGAACATTTTAGCTTTCCTGATCTACTATCCCCGGCCACTGCTTGTTTCGTAGTACGTTGTTCAAAGAAAAACCTGTCCAGCAAAGATCTGATCACATCTATCATTTATCGTTAGTGTTGTATACCTAATAATGGTTAACTACGTGATGTATTATTTACGTTCTGGTCAACAGCTAGGTCAAACTAAATACGGATATGCGTGTGTAACATGACATTGAAGAGCTATTTTTTCTCACGCTCTATTTCTACTACGGTAACTAAAATTAATTATACTGTTATCTGAAATTTGCTGACACAAAAGCCATCTAAATGAATAATTTTCCCTATCTTTCCCTAATATTTCGTTGCATCACATGATTTTCAACATCTGAATAAAATAGCTGATTCTTTTCGAACGCTCATGGGGAGATAAATAAGATTAAATTACCCTCAAAGGGCAACAGATCATATCTAAAAGGAAATAGATCTTGACTGTTTTTGCCCACCGGCATTGTTCGAAAAGGGGGTGGCAATATTTTTGCCTTATGCGTAAACATAGCGACGAATGCATTTAGCAAATTTTTGAAACGTTTTGTTTTCTTCGTTTGCGTGTATGTACGGTGCGTGGGTTGCACTGTTGTGAGTTCCTTTTGCAGTTTCCAAAAGTGTCCTCGAAGATTAAGATTAGGATAAGTTTAAATCCTAAGTCATTCCCTATATCTCCTTAACTGGCTCGGGATGACGAGGGACCATACACTAGCAACGAGGTCAGGCTAAAGGCAAAGAACATTTTTGCATTCAAGCTTTAACGACACCTTTTATAATATTTCCGGTTCATGCTGAGAGTGTAAATGATTATCCCAATTGAGATTATTAAGGAGTCAAGTCTCAGAAGACTGAGCGTTTTGCTTTCCTTTTAATCTCTACAGTTTCATTGAATGATTATAAACATCTGAAACATGCACTGATTCTCGCCAAACGCCCTTGACAGAACGACAAAGAGGACTTTGCAGAAGCTTGACAGCCCAGCATGGCCCAGGGAAAACAATTCATTGCTAATCACGTAGTTTGAGAGATTTAAGTGATAAACACATATTGCCATGTGACTAGTTGAGGCTTGATGTTGTCGTACGTGCGCGCAAAATTGAAAGTTAACGTGTGTGGCAAAGTTCCATGGTGGAATCACATCCAAAGTATCTTTTTCGGTTTTCGAACACAATAGATATCGAACTCTTCTTCAACGATAGATGAATGCCGGGAAAATCTGCGCAAATGGCTTGGAAACTTCCTCTTCCAGTCTGTTTAAAAACCTTTGCATACCGAGGAGACATTTGCTCAAGGAAATGTAGGCTTCAATCCGCTGAGTTTCCCTCACACGAAACAGAGCCGCATTTCGTGGCCTTGTGCCATGAGTGTTAAGGAAAACGGGTTTTCTGCACAGGGCACCCAAAACTTATGACCCGTGGATACGAATGCATTATTTTTCATGTCAGTGCTTTCATGTACTTGCTTACATCCACATGTACAAAAGAAACCTTTCTGAGCAGAAGTTTACTCAGACAAACCAAATTTTTGACAAAATTTCAATTATATCTTGGAAGGAAACCGTAAACAGTAAAAACTCTGTTTAAAATTTTACAATACAAGAAAATAACCACTAGCGTTAAGCATGAATCAAGGCATTTGGGAGAGTATCATTCATTTTCACCGCTACTTAAAACTCGTTACAAATATGGGCCTTTACCCGAAAAGTCGTCAGACACTGATTGAGGGATGAATCAAATACTATGCGTACCCCTTTCATCTAAGTGGTGTTTTAGCTACAAATGCCAGGCACGAATATGATTTTAAAGTGGTCGATCAGAAAACCTCTTATTTTATTAATGTTCTCTCTATTTCGGCTTCTGGAAAGTGTGAAACTTTATTCCTGGACTCAGTTTCCGTAAGACTACTAGAGACATGATATTTTGTAAACGCGTTATCAACCGATAACAGTTAAAGGCAAAAAATCCCATATTGAAATGCACATAATCGAAAAAAAGCGAATATGAATAAAAATGGACTGAAGTTGATCTTTGTTAAAATCAAGGAAATGTTTCAACAGTATTTATTCTTCTTATCCAATCACCAAGCTTACAATATCCAATACCGTTTCATAACACTTGGTACAACTACAACAAAGCTTGACTGTCTTTACATAGTTTTTTTTTTAAAATCCCTACACCTTACAGAAACTTAACAGCGCCTTTCCTTTGTTTTCAACTACAGTTTGTTTCTATCGCACCATCACCCAGATTGGTTTGTTCAGATAACAGTAGCCCGCGATACACTTGGTACCACGCGCGCGGCTGTCGTCGGAAGTGACGTAGTTGTTTGAGCTGTCAGCACTATTCCACATGTCAATCCACTTGTCTGAGCCAGCGTGAAGTTCAGATATTCCGTTATTTGAATAGAAGTGTAGCTGGGATATTGTGGCAAAACCAGAAGAGGGATTTCTCTTATTGTGATCTGTCGGGCTGTACTTGTAAAACCCGTAGATGTTTTTAGCTATCGCGGTAGTTGTCCCCATCAGGAACTTGTCGAATTCTGTTTTGTCCTTATTTGGAGCGCCTGCCCTCCTGTTATAAATAACCCGGATAGTGTTGACGTCATTAAACCGGAACATAACTTCTCCCCAGTCCCCCATGTCAGGGTGAATGTGACTTGCTGTATTTGCGTCTGTGGTTTTTGCCGCTGACGCTGAGAATGTTGTTTTGATGAAGAGGAAGCTTGGGGACACCTTCGTGGCAATTAGTGTCCAACCTCCACTCTCAGTGTCCATGTCGCAAAAAGCCTGGAACGAGTCACTTGTCGAGCCTCCATTTGGATCGATCCAGTAAAGTCCGTTACCATTACTGCCACCTAAAAGAGACCATTAACTGATCATTTGAAATCGTCTCCTAATATCGTTCAAAGCTCAATCAGCATCGAAGAATATAATTTGACCTCCGTACAGTGACGGCCAGGTCTTAGCCACATGACCTTTCTTTCCAGTCACAAGTGGCAACCAAGCGCTTCCATCGCAGAGCTGCAAAGCATTTTGGGAAGCATTGTAACGAACAGTGCCAGCAGTTCGCAGAGTACATTTCTCAGCGGTGTCACCAAACTTGATGGCACCTTGTGATTTACCAGCCAGACCGGTTTCGCCTTTTTGACCCTGACAAAGTAGAAATTAAAAGTGTTCATTTTATGATGAAAAAAAAAGCGAAGTACATCACAGAAATCGGTTTCGAAGATATTTGAGCAATGGCCACAGAACTCTTTGGTGGTGGCGCGACAGTAGGCATAACCAGAGGACAATCATAGTGGTTGTTGCTTCTACGAATGAGTTTTATTATTTTGTCCTTTCTGTGGTTTTGAAGTTAAGTTTGTAAGAAATTTAAACACCAACCTTTAAGCCGTTCATTCCGTCGTTTCCCTTCGGTCCTCGTTCTCCTTTATCTCCCTGAAAAGAAGAAACTTTTCGTTAACACTTGTGACTGAGATGATTATTACTAATCAGTGTTACAAAAAAATTGTGAGCTTTGGTGATAAAAATCAAGTAAGTCACCAACCTTGACAACACTTTTTCCTCCACTTTCTTTACTGAGACCTTGTTCGCCTTTTTCACCCTAAAATAAAATTTTAAAAAAGGGTTTCTTAAATACCCTACATACAATAGGTGCCGCTTTAAGAAAGTTTGAAGTTTTAAACACTTTCCCTTACTGTCCTCTTTAATCTGTAGAAAATCAATGCAACATGATAAATTTTCCCAAAATATGCATATGATTCAACTCCAACGCGTTTATTTTACTTCAGAATTCTGTAAACAATATTCCTTTAGATTGAAAGTGGTTTGCGATTTGATAGAACATTCTCTTCTTTTTTCTTTCCTTTTTTCCGTTTTGGGTTGTGGCGTTTTTCCTTTATTTCTTTGTTCGTATCTTTACACCAACCTTTGTTCCCATTTTCCCGTCGCGTCCATCGCGGCCATCTCTTCCTTCGATCAAAGACAAGAAAATATTTGCTATGAGTGAATTTCATGACGCATAACATATTTTCGAGAGACATTTTAACATTCTAACTATCCTTTTGGAGATATCTAGTCGTCTACAAGCGGACTCTGTTCTTAACAATGAATTGCTGGCAGAACGCTCCCACCCAGCTATGGCTGTTAAAGTAATTCAGTGTTTATTACAAAAAACCTTTTAAGTGCGACCTAACTATTCCATACCGTTTCGACCCTCTCTGCCGTCTCTACCTGAAAAAAGAAGTGTAAAAGGTCGTTGATGTAAAATAAAAATATGAAATATCAAGAAATAGCAAATTCCATTCGGGTGCAATTTAAAACTCAACAAATTGTGATACGTTCATACCGTCGCGGCAGGAACAACTGTCCTTCGAAACAGACTTTGCACACTGACTTTGCTGAGGTCCATTCTTCGAGCCCTAAAAAGGGAGGTTCTCGATCAACGTGGTACGATTCTAAACTGTGTAGTGCACGAGTTTAAGAAATAAACTTGCCGGGTTCAGCATAAATATTTAAGAACATTTATTCATCCACAAAGAGACGATACGACTTCGTATTTACTGACAAAATATTCCCACTTACCGTTTGGTTCTTTGAGACTGCAAAAGCACTCAGGATAAAAATGCAACTTAAGGCAAGAAATAATCGGAACATCTTGGCTTCCTCTTCTTTTGTTGAAAGTTTCTTTGGAATAAAAGCAGAGTTTCAAGACACGAGCATTTTGAATGCAAAGTTAGTTGAATATTTGCATGTCATCAGAACGAGAAAAAACGGCATGAGAGTGGTTCAGACAATTTGTTATGATCGTTTCTTGTTTGTTTTTTTTAGAGGTCTGCTTTTTCCCTTTTCATACTCCAAACCTCTGCTTTCGAATGGCGCACTTGACCGGCGATATCTCTCTAAGCTAATTTGGTTCAGCATATTTCCACGACGAGGAAATATATCTTCCAATGAGAAAAGAAGTAAAACCAACAAAAACACACGATATACATTACTGTTTGTATAAATATTTACAAAGCTTATGTCTCCGGTGCCACTAAAGGAATACAATGATTGATGCTATGCGACAGTTTTTGATAAGGATAGCGTGACGCACAGGTCACGCATGTACGCAGGCGGTGTGCGCACTCCGATTGCGTTACATTGTGGTAGCTCCATTTTCAGTATGGGGTGAAAGCAGCAGAAATCGCCAGATTTTGACCGAATATTCCGTAACAGTTAGACCGTTCATTTTTCTTTTTACCATATGCAAATATAATCTGATTTATTCTAAATGGGTGAAAGTATTTTTTGTACGTATTTGTCGCGTATTCTATGGTTCTCAAGGAGAAACGCAATCACGGCTTTTTTAGTATGCAATTTGAGACCGGTTTTCGAGAAGGTCAAATTTAAGGTACGTCGTAGTTTGGAGCCTTTCAAAGATTTGGATGGCCGCCTTGATCCTTCTTTGACAGCTCTGAACAAACACTCTCCAACGGTGCATGTGTTTCTCGCATTCTAAGTGCTAGTGTTTGAGACCGATTATGGCCGAGAAAAGGTCTATTGTTACATTACTCAGCGTTACTATCGTATACTCAATTGAAATGTAAATCTACTTTCCTAGTAAAAGCAAACTAACTAATCCCGAGTGTTGTATGGTAAAGTTATTATCTTGTTCGTTGAATGAAGGACAGTTGAACTAGAGCAATGAAAAGAGTCCGCACTTGACCAATGAATAACTCTACAATGCACACGGCGACACGCCGGGTAAGTCGGAAAGCAAAAGGCAGTCGATCGTTAAAGGGTGTTGATAGGCTTGTGCGACTCCTGCCATTCGCTTGCGCTTTTAAATCTTCTGACCTGAAAGCTTAGCTGTTATTAGGATATCTTTTAATGAATTTCGTTTGCGATGTGATAATTAGGGTTAGTTTTAAGGAGTCATTTCCCCATCTGTATGTTCTTGAGGTTTGGCTAAGCTGGATGAGACTGTGTTACAAAAGGTAATATTTTCATGTATGCGCGCGATTTTGTTTTTTTTTTTTTTCAAGTATACTGTCTCTCTCGCAGAAAATAACTCTAGAGATGCGTTTCTCAAAACCTCATTCTAGGTATTACCTATTCTTTAAGCATATTTGACACTCTATACGTTTTTTATCAAACGTTGAGCGTGACGAATTTGGTCGAATTCGGAGGCAAAAGTCTTCTCCGGAGATGTTCACTCGACCGCGACAGGATGCAAATGACTCGCTTTTTGTTTTACGACCATGATGCAACACAATCAGAGTGCGCACACCGCCTGGCCGGCATCTGTACTTTTAGAATTAACGAGTCGTCGTTGCGTGTAAGGGCTCTTAAAGTGGTAGCATAGAAACGCCTCGCAACCCTTTTTAAATGGCTGCCTACTGGTGCCTTTCGTTCTTGAACTCTTATACTTGGCTCATCTTTTCTAATTCGAGGATGGGGGCTTGAGATCACGGTTCATCGTGGAACCCCAACATTGCTGTGACTCACTTGGCAAGTGAACATAATTCCCGCTGAAAAAAATCACTTATCTTCTATCACTTCTTTTTTAGAGATTCTCCTCGCAGCAGTATTATTTAGCTTTAGAGATTAACTTAAAGTCGGTTTCAAATATACATCTACGCGGCCGCCATTTTGTTAACTCAACCCAGGTCTTCTCTTCCGTCGCTTTTGGCCTTTAATTGGTTTGGGTTGCATTCATGTGATCAACTGCATTTAGAGATTTCTTACCAGCTGCCTCCTTTTTTTCAGTTTTTTCCCTCACAGAGTGGTATGTTGCTCGCGCGCATCAGATTGCTCATTACGGTATGTCTCTCGCACCAATCAGATTGCTTATTAGAGCATGTCTATCGCACCAATCAGATCACATCACTGTTGTAGTCCTGCACCAATCAGAGTTTTAGGGAATTGTCCCTCATGCCAATTATGCCATACAATGAATTAGTTGCCAATAACATATCGTTGGCTGTTTTGAGACTTTAAATGAATAAACGTTAAAGACTAAAACTTAGCAACTGGCTTATCTAAGTTTCTTTCTCAACGTTAAAACTGTTGTATGCCGAGAAGATGAATGCTTTCAGAAATGAGGACACCCTCAATTTTTATGAGACTTTGTCATGATATTTTGTAAACTCGTTATCAATCGATTCTCAGTACCAAAAAATAAAAAAGGAACGCTTTGGAGGCATTCAATTCTTCCTGTAGGATTATGATTCGGGTTCATTAAAGTTGAAGTTGGGTTCGACTCAACCAAATTGAAAAAAAAAAAAAACAAACAAAAGAATCCCTGAAAGAACTGCGTTTTCCCTGATTTGATGTAACCAGATGGCACATAACTTAACCGGTATGTGATTTAAAACGTAATACCGCCGAACATTTGGTTAAACCCAATGAAATGTTTCAACAGTATTTATTCTCCTTATCCAATCCCCAAGCTTACATTATCCAATACCAGTTAGCTCTTGATACATCTACAACAAAGCTTTGTTGTCTGTTTTTTGTAGAAACTTGACAGCGCGTTCTATCGCACCATCACCCAGATTGGTTTGTTCAGATAACAGTAGCCTGCGATACACTTGGTACCACGCGCAAGGCGGTCGTCGGAAGTGACGAAGTTGTTTGAGCTTTGGGTACTTTGCCATATGTTAATCCACTTGTCTGTGCCATCATTAACTTCAGATATTCCGTATTTTGAATAAAAGTACAGCTTGGATATTGTGGCAAAACCAGAAGAGGGATTCCTCTTATTTTGATCTTCCAGACTGTACTTGTGAAACCCGTGGATGTTCTTGATCGTATTGTAAGTTGTTCCCATTAAGAACTTTTCGAAGTCTGTTTTGTCCTTATTTGGAGCGCCTGCCTTCCTGTTTTAAATAACACGGATGGTATTGACGATCGATTTAACTATAAGGTGTTACATGAAAAGAACCCTAAATTCCAATCCACACGTAAGATGCAAACCAAACTGTTTAATATATGAGAAGAGTTGCGAAATCAGTCATTAATACATAAAATTGAAAGAAAAAACATTTTATGCTCTGCAATCCTAATATATTGCACAACTTAATCAAACTTACCAATTTATTCTGTGGGGTTGAACAAGAGCTCAGGGCAACAACAGAGGTCAATATGATTAGTAATCGGAACATTTTAGCTTTGCTGATCTACTATCCCCGGCCACTGCTTGTTTCGTAGTACGTCGTTCAAAGAAAAACCTGTCCCAGCAAAGACTGATCACATCTATCATCTATCGTTAGTAATGTATACCTAATAATGGTTAACTACGTGATGTATTGTTTACGTTCTGGTCAACAGCTAGGTCAAACTAAATACGGGTATGTGTGTAACATGACATTGAAGAGCTAATTTTGCTCACGCACTATTTCTACAAAGGTAACTACAATTAATTATACTGTAATCCGAAATTTGCTAACACAGAAGCCATCTGAATGAATAATTTTCCTCATCTTTCTAATATTTCGTTTTCGTTGCATCACATGATTTTCAACATCTGAGTAAAATAGCTGATTCTTTTCGAACGCTCACGAGAGGATAAATAAGATTAAATTACCCTCAAAGGGCAACAGATCATATTTAAAAGGAAATAGATCTTGACTGCTTTTGCCCACCGGCATTGTTCGAAAGGGGCGTGGCATTAATTTTTGCCTTAGGCGTAAACATAGCGACGAATGCATCTAGCAAATTTTTGAAACGTTTTGTTTTTTCCGTTTGCGTGTGTGTACGGTGCGTGGGTTTCACTGTTGAGAGTCCCTTTTGTAGTTCCCGAAAGTGTCCTCGAAGATTTAGATTAGGATAAGTTCAAACCCTAAGTCATTCCCTATATCTCCTTTACTGGCTCGGGAGGACGAGCAACGAGGTTAGGCCAAACGCAAAGAACATCTTTGCACTCTAGCTTTAACCACACCTTTTATAATATTTCCGGTTCATGCTGAGAGTGTAAATGATTATCCCAATTGAGATTATTAAGAAGTCCAGTTTCAGTGGACTGAGCGTTTTGCTTTCCTTTTAATCTCTACAGTTTCACTGAATGATTATAGACATCTGAAACATGCACTGATTCTCGCCAAACGCCCTTGACAGAACGACAAAGAGGACTTTACAGAAGCTTAACAGTCCAGCATGGCCCGGAGAAAACAATTCATTGCTAATCACGTAGTTTGAGAGATTTAAGTGGTAAACACATATTGCCATGTGACTAGTTGAGGCTTGATGTTGTCGTACGTGCGCGCAAAAATTGAAAGTTAACGCGAGTGGCAAAGTTCCATGGTGGAATCACATCCAAAGTATCTTTTTCGGTTTTCGAACTTTTCACGATAGATATCGAACTCTTCTTTAGCGATGGATTAATGCCAAGAAAATCTGCGCAAATGGCTTGGAAACTTCCCCTTCTGTTTAAAAACCTTTGCACACTGAGGAGACATTTGCTTACGGAAATGTAGGCTTCAATCCGCTGAGTTTGAGTTTCCCTCACACGAAACAAAGCCGCATTTCGTGGCCTCGTGCCATGAGTGTTAAGGAAAGCGGGTTTTCTGCACAGGGCACCCAAAACTTATGACCCGTGGATACGAATGCATTATTTTTCATGTCAGTGCTTTCATGTACTTGCTTACATCCACATGTACGAAAGAAATCTT